AATTGACATCAGGACATAGACCATTTCATGATCAAGAACATGGACCAAAACTTATATTAGATATTTTAGATGGAAAACGACCAGAAATTACAAAAGATACACCAGAATGTTGGGAAAATTAATGAAAAGATGTTGGCATTCTGATCCATTTCAACGACCATCTCTATATGAAATTTATAAATTATCATGTAACTTTAGTCGTTCTTCTCATTTTCCAGCATTCATGCTATACAGATATGACATCAGGTTTAAATTTATAGAAGCCGAAAAAAAACGACTTGAAATGATCAAATCAAAAAAACCGTTTGTAAAAAATCCAGGATATGAACATCCCAATTCTAGATATTATAGCACATCATTAAATTCCATGATAGAATCTATTAATTCGACAGTATCGGGTATTTAATTTTTTCTAATAGCTTTTAAAGTGATATAATTCATTGTAATAATAATTTCTTATATGTAATTTCTATAGATCTATATTCTAATGATGACTTAATCTCTAATGAGCATTTTGATATAATGGATTTTAAGTAAGAATTATTTTATATATTTATATATACTTCAGTTATTAATCGATTAATTTATCTAATTATTAATAACTTTAAATAGTCGTGATCAAAAAAATAATTTTGAAAATTCAGACCATAATTCAAGTGCGGAAAATTCTAAAAAGCATTTTTTGGACGAATTACTGCAAGAAGAAAACGTTGAAGATCAAGGTAATGTTTTTAAATTTTATAACAAATTTAATTATTTTAATTATTATTTATTAATTTGAATTTTTACCAAATAGATGAATTTAAACGAAGAAAGATTGTTGAATATTTTTTAGATAATATGGATTATTAAATAATAGTAAAAATATACATAATTTTAAAATTACCTAATAGATTAGTGAATGATTTGTAATCTTACGAATTTCTATTTTTCATATATTCTTTTTATAAACTACAGTCAACTCTTGATATAACGAACTTTAGGTTTTTACCTTAAATTCGGTATAAAATTATAACGAAGAATTTAAGGACTGCTTCGTTGTAACGAGAGAAATCTGGCAAATTTGGTGGTTAAATATCACGTGTTGGCGAAAAATTCGTTATATCGAGAGTTGACTGTATATTATTTTACATTAGATATATAACAAGTTCTTTAAATTTGAATTTATTTATAAATAAAAGAACAAAATTATAATAGAAGATAATCCAGAAATTAAATTTTTATAAATATTTTTTTTCCATTTTCAATTGAATTTACGGCGAAAGATTAGTTATTTTGTTATAACAGATTGATCGAAATTTTTTTTTAAAAAAAATAATCGTAAATAAGAAAATTATTTAATAATTTTTAAAAATGAAGTTTGTTTATATATTAGATGAGAATAACTAGTTATGTAATTTGTCTTTTCATAGTCAGTAAAGTCTGCACCTATAGGAATAAAGAATATAAAAAAAAGGGAATCATTATAAAATTTTCTTATCATTATAAAGATACGGCAATTGTAATACTACTAATCCTACTATTCCTATTATTGATCAATAATGAGAATCCAACTAGAGACTCCTATCTGGTTTCAAGATCACTTTTTTTGGATGTCATATGTAATAAAAATAAATAAATTTTATTTTGTCGAATTTTTTTTTCCACACGCACTTATTATACATTTATACATTTTAATATTATTACATTAAAAAATAAATAATAAATAATTAAATAATTAATTAATTATACAAGCTAAAAAATATGTTCAAAAGGGAAATAAACATACAAATTTTCTATTATATTATTACAATATATATGATGGTTGTTATTAATTATTATCATGGATAATTTTGGGGATTTTGATATTGTTGATCTTGAGGAGGGTATTGCTGTTGAGGAGGATATTGCTGTTGAGGAGGATATTGTTGCTGAGGAGGATGTTGCTGTTGAAGAGGAAATTGTTGTTGAGGAGGGTATTGCTGTTGAGGAAGATATTGTTGTTGAGAAGGATATTGCTGTTGAGGAGGATATTGTTGCTGAGGAGAATATTGCTGCTGAGGATATTGAGAATATTGAGGATATTGATATTGTGGTTGTGTATTAACATCAGTAGTATTATAAATTGTTGGTGGTACGTCAGTAGCATTGTAAATTGTTGGTGGTATATCAGTAGCATTATAAACTGAAGGGTCAAGAGGAGGTTGTGCTGGAAGTGGTACTGATGCATGAGTAAAATTATCTTTATTGATGTTTGGATAATAAATGGGAGGAACAGCAGATTCACTTAATATAATCATTTCATCTCTATGCTCTTCATTAGTCGGCTTTTTCATTGTTGATGATGGTCTATTAACAATTTGAGGTTGAGTTGGTGATGAAGATTCAATTACTTCATTTCCATGTACATCTGCTACGTCGAAGTTTTCACCCGTTTTACTTATTTCACTTTTTTCACTTTCTTGTCCTCGTCGTCGTTTTCGTCTCAAATAAAAGAAAATACCGATGCCGATTATTATTATCACAAATAATAATGCTCCCAAAATACCTCCAATCAACGCAGCCTTTTTTGATCCTTCTATAATAATTAAAGAATATAATTAGAGTTGTTATCATTTATATTTTTCAAATATTTCGAATATAAATAAATTAGTGTTAACAAACTTTTTGGATAAGAAGAAACCCAGGAATAATTATCAGTATCCATAACGTACAATTGAGAACTGACACTTGTACCAGATGAGCCGGAGCCGGTTAAGTTACCTAATTGTATGTTTAAGTTTAAGTTTAAGTTTAAAACAATAGACAAAAAAAAATAACAAAAATAAAAACGTAAAAAATAAAAAATAAAAAAAAATCAAATAAAAATAAAAAAATAAAAAATAAAAAAATAAATTACCAAATGTCAAAAATAAATATTTATTGTGAAAAGTAGCAGCGTGATAAGAAAGCGTGTATTGATCAGGTGGACCATTGCTTTCATCATTTAATTCGGGAACAGACCATTGGTATGGAAAAACTGTTACATCAAGAACAGCAAAATATATGCTCGGATTCGGAACCACAGAAGATAATGTAATTCCTCCGTAAACAAATATTCTCCCATTAGATCCTAAGGTAGCTGTATGTCCCATTCTTGAACCAATTTCAGGACCAACAGCTTGCTAAAGGATTAAAGAATTTAAAGAATTATAAATAAAAGTTAACAATAAAATAGAATTTAACCATTATTTACAAAGAATATTCGTTAAAATATTTACTGATGTGACCCATTCTGAAGAACTTGTATCAAATATCCATATCTAAAAATATAATATTTAATATAATAAGTAAATATAAGTAAGTATAAGTAAACAAATATAAATAAATATAATTAAATATAATTAAATATAATTAAATATAATTAAATATAATTAATAAAAGAACAAAAAAAAATAAATACCTCATTAATATCAACCAATTGCGAACTTGAACTTTGAGTACCTTCGACTCCACCAATATAAACTATATATTTATCTACTAAAGTAGCAGTATAATCAGATCTAGGAGTCGGTCCATCTGTAAAACTTGTTTCGCTAACTGTATTTAATAATGAGTCAACTATACTCATGTTATCCATTCGAATATTATTATCACTTCCTCCAAATATATAAATATATCCTTCTGAATCGCCTACTGCAAATGTTCTACTTCTTTTTTCTAAAGATGAAATCGTTACCGAATCCCAACTTTCACTCGCGGTATCAAATGTATAAACTAAATTATTAGCTATATTACTACGAACATTACTAGAATATTGATATCCTCCAATTACATAAATTGTTGAAAGACTTTGACCACCAATTGATACTGATGACCTTTCACATTTTCCTCCAATTGATGTTAATGTGACCCATGGTGGTGAATTGACATCAAATGATGATGAAAGGTCAACATAAAATGCTTCATTAGAATTATTTCCACCTAAAATATATAATTTGGTTCCAACTAATGCACTACCGTGTGAATGTCGAGGACTGGTGGGTAATGATAATACAATATTAGTATTTAAGATAATTAAATAACAAAAAATAATATAAAATGTAAATAATTGATAAGAATTATTATTTGTATTATTTGTATTATTATTATTATTTAATTTTTTTTTAAACTTCATTTTCATTTTTTTTTTTAGATACGGAAAATGCGTATGCATTTTATTAAATATAGGAGATAATTCTACTTTAATCCGAAAAATCTCGGAGTACAAACACACAATTGTAAATATGTAAACATAAACTTTCATGCAGGTGTGTATGGATAACTTCATTATAGATATTTATAGATCTAAAAAAAATCTAAAAAGTACAAAAAAGCTACGCTGAATAATACAAAAAATTAAAAAAAATAAAATATAAATGAATTACAATTCAAATTTCAGAAATAAGAAAGACTTTTTCTAATTTTCTCCGAGTAAATACAAACAATAGATAAAAATTACATAATAATAACCATAATTATAGCTAAAACAATATAATTCTAAGTAAAATAACAATTAAATAAAAAATGAAACAAACCGTCTGCATAGCGTAAAACTTGTACGTTGATTTTTGATGCTTCATTTTTCATTAAGAATAAAAAAAAAAATTTTTGGTGGATCCGTGAACACTTTGGCACACCGCACATAAGCGAATGTAATACGGTAAAAATAACAATACTAAGTATTACTAAATAAAAGTTACTATTTCCTGCGGATCATGTCTTATGACAAGATCATGGCTCCATCAAGGCAAAAGCCCGAAGGAATATCCCTCGAGCGCCATTAAGATCTCTATTTTTATATTACATTTGATTCTCCAATGTTCTGAATGTTTGTCACGTGATACTCGTTCCCTCTAAAAAATGACGACGACGATTAACCATGGCTTCAATAGTATGAACAGAACTTATTTAAATTCTTGCAGAAGGAAGACTACAAATAAAAAATATTTTATTTCAAGGGTGTAAATAATATCTAATAGATAATCAAGATTTTTAGCAGATGAATTCATTATCCAAGTTATTTGTTATAGTTTGCTTACATCAGTAAAATATATTTAAACACCTCTGATCAAAATTTAAATTTTTAAATATAAATATAAATTTTGATGATTTTAATGAATATGATTTGATTGAAGAAATAAGATTATAAATTTTTCACATCATTAAATTCATATAAGTAATTAGTGTTTCTAAATTGTAAAAAAAAATACTAAAAATTCAAGCTAATAAAAATGCCCGACCTGAATTCTTGTGATTTGAACTAATAATAATAAATAATTTAAATCCAAAAAGTTAAAATAAATATGGATAAAAAATTTTAAAAGAAATTATATATTAATATTATAATGCAAATAAAATAGAGTTAGATTTAAAACCTTACATTTGATAATTTTTCGAACAAACTGAAAAATGTACGCGAACTATATTTATGAATTTAAATGATTTCGATAAAATGTATAATATTTGCTTTCTTTAACTGAATTTTTAACTGAAAAGAAGGTAAAATAATAATATAATTATATTCGATGGTGTAAAAAAAAAACAGAAATTTGTAAAATTATTTATAAAACTTTCACTAAATTATAAAGTAATTATTTTGAAATTATCTAATTGCATGCGATAAAAGTAAAAGTAAAAAATAAAAATAAAAATAAGTAATTTATTGAAAAAAAATAAAGAATAATAAATTTTAATAGTTATTGTATCCATACCTTAACTACAAAACATTAACATTCATTAAAATATTCAACAAATTTTCTTCGTTTAAATTCATCTGTTTGGTAAAATACAAATTAATAAAAAAATAATTAAAAATAATTAAATTTGCTATAAAAATTAAAAATTAAAAATATTACTTTGATCTTCAATGTTTTCTTCTTGTAGTAATTCATCCAAAAAATGTTTTTTAGAATTTTTCGCACTTGATTTATGGTCCGAATTTTCGAAATTATTCTTTTGATTAGAACTATTTGAAAATTATTAATATTTATATTTCGATAAATTAGTGAAATCGTTTAGTAACTGAAGTGTAATAAATATATTAAATATAATATAATTCTTACTTTAAATCCATTATATCAAAATGATCATTGGAGAGTAAATTATCATTAGAGAATAAATCTATAGAAATCATGTACAAGAAAATATTATTATAATGAATTATTTCATTTTAAAAATCATTTAAACCAATAAATACCTGATATTTTTGAATTAATAGATTCTATCATGGAACTCAATGATGTACTGTAATATCTGGAATTAGGGTGCTCATATCCTGGATTTTTTACAAATGGTTTTTTGAATTCGATCATTTCAAGTCGTTTTTTTTCGGCTTCAAAATACTCTAAATAATTATCGTAGACGTCAAAATTATAAATTTCTGATATGGTTGGTCGTTGAGAAGGATCATGATGCCAACATCGTTTCATTAAATTAGCCCAAGTTTTTGGTGTATCTTCTGTAATTTCTGGTCTTTTTCCATCTAAAATATCTAATATAAGTTTTGGTCCATGTTCTTGATCAT